CACATACAATTTACTGAATTTAAATTTCCCCGGCTCCTTTAGCAACTACTTTTTAGCAGGGTGTGGTGGTACTCGTCTTTAATCCCAGCATTTGGGAGGCAGAGGCAGGTGGATCTCTGTGAGTTTGGAGGCCAGACTAGTCTACAAAGTGAGTTCTAGGACAGCTAGGGCTGTTTCACAGAGAAACCCTGTCTTGAAAAACCAAAAAGCCAAAAAACCAAAAACCAAAAAACAAAACAACAAAAAAACCTAAACCACACACACACACACAAACCCAAACCAAAACAACAAAACCTCACCCCAATCACTTTTTAAAAAATCATTTCTGTTCATTCTTTACCTTACTTGCCTAGCCTATATTTTACCAAAGTGACTATTTTCTCCTACACCACCCATACATCACTTATTTACTTTTGTGCTTGTTAGACAGGGGCCCACAATGTAGCCCAGGACTTCAAATCTGCAATTATTCTGCTTCAACCTTCTGAGTGCTGGGATTACAGGCATTCTTCATGGTGCCCAGCCTTAAAAGGGTCTATACCAAAATATCATTGGTCTATACTGAGGCTATACATGGGCATTCCCCACATTTTTTCTTATGTATTCTCTTCTAGTAGTTACATAAATCATTCTCTCCTTGTCTTGAACAGAACTCACCGAAAGCGGTCATGCCATCATTTATTTTCATGCCCCATCAACTCTTGGTCCCCACCATTAGTATTTTGCATACAGTAGACACACAGTGTTTACCAAACAGTCAACAACATAAATGCTCTTAAGATGCTTTTATTCACTGTGCAGCAATCATAAAGATAACATAAGGCAAATACAGGGGTGGTGGTAGGAGGTGCTAAGTATCTATCTCTATACTGTTTGCTTCCTCTCATCTCATTTCAGGTGAACAATGATGGGACTGGAAGTTAGGAGGAAGCAGTCTGCATCAAACCGGGCTTGTGCAATGATTCTGTGTCTGTCCAGGATGTGCTAAGTAGCAAAGGCTGGGCCACCTAAAACAACAACAGACATTTCTAACAGTTCTGGAGGCTGGAAGTCCTAGATCAGGGTGGCAGCATAATCAGGTTCTGATAAGGACTATCCTCCAGGAACAAAGTGGCAAGCTTTTGATATATCCTCCAAAGAAAGAAGAAAGAGAAGGAAGAAGGGATGAAGGAAGGGAGTTAAGTCATTCAGTCCAGCCTCTTCTTATAATGTTTGGTCCCCAGTTGGTGGAACTGTTTGGAAGGATTAGGTTTGTCACTGGGCGTGGGCTTTAAGATTTCAAAAGGCCATGCCACTCCCAGTCAGCCATCTGCCTCCTGCCTGAGGATCAGATGTAAACTCTTAGCTACTGCGCTGGTGCCATGGCTGTGTGTGTAGCCATGCTCCCTACCATGATAGTTACGGAATCTACTACTCTTTTGGACTGTGAGCTCCAAATTAAATGCTTTCTTTTATAAGTTGCTTTGTTCTTGGTGTCTTATCATGGCAATAGAAAAGAAACTAAGAAATCTAACTACCTCCCAAAGGCTAGACCCCACTTGGGGATTAAATTTCAGTGTATGAATTTTGGGGGTACACAGATGCAGTGTATACAGCATTCTAGGCACTGGGTTAATTTCTTTTGGAAGAAGGGACATGGAACTTACAAAGCTCACTGTTCCTGACGTTCTGCTCCTGGAAGTTACAACATACACACAAGACAACTTTTAGAAAATATTTAACACTAGGTGGTTCAATATTGACTGTTAGTGCAAAAAAAAAAATAGTTCAGATAAAAGGATGATATATAGGTTGGGACCAGTTGAGGAATTCTAGGAAAGATGAGGTGGTGAATGAATTCTTACATTTCCAAATGTGAAAAATGGAGACATCAAAGACAGACATGGAAAGCAAGCAAACATGGGTTTTTGGAAAGTGAAATATAAGATAAAACACAAACTATACAGAAGGAAAGACTTTCATTTCTTCTGCATCCATTTCCCACAGTGATCCACTATACCAGCCACTGGTCACATGTGGGTGTTTAAGTAATATGAAATCCATGTAGTTCAGTTTCTGATGGGGAAGGAATGAGACTGTAGAAACCAGAAGGGGCTGTGGGGATGGACATCCTTATTTAGGACTTCGAGCTGACAGACTGATTTCCCTTGATGCTGTGAGCACAAGTGACCTACTTCCTTTATCTAGAAGACTACGGCCTCCTTTGCCTGAAGACCATGCAGAAATTGCACCTGAGAAAGATGTCTCCCAATATGCTTCTTCCTCTTTCATGACCTAGCACACTGCTTTTAGTGTTTCTTCACCAAGAACTCAACTTTTGTCATAGCGTGCCTGGGGGAACACTGTCCCTGTTGTGTGTAATAAGGGTAACCTGAAAAGCATGTGCTGGCAGAATCAGAACATATCTGAAGATGGATCTTGGTACATGTATGAGTAAGTGGCCTGAGGTACAGATATCATAGATTTGTTGATCATAAACCCAAGTAATCAAGAAAAACATAGAAACTGGATTCATTTGAAATTGATCATATTTCCTGTCACCAGGGAGATAAGTACTCGAGAGATTGCATTAAGAAAAATGAAGAAGTCAAATTACTTTGCACACCAGAATTTGTAGGTTACCTCAGGCATGTCTTAAATGAGTAATACCGTCTATAGATGAAGTTAAAAAAACAAAACAAAGCCAGGCGGTGGTGGTGGTGGTGGTGGTGGTGGTGGTGGTGGTGGTGGTGCACGCCTTTAATCCCAGCACTCAGGAGGCAAAGCCAGGCAGATCTCTGTGAGTTCGAGGCCAGCCTGGTCTACAGAGAGAGAGAGAGATCCAGGAGAATCTACACAGAGAAACTCTGTCTCGAAAAACCAAAAAAAAAAAACCAAAAAAACCAAAACCCAAACAAACGGAACAAAAAATCCTGTGTATCCTGCTGTTGCTAACATAGGGTTTGCTGCTGGTCACTACTGAAAGTGTTATTAGAGGAGCTCACTAACTAAGTACATATGCCATCAGGTAAATACAGATACTTGAGTATGCTCACCAATAAACAGCTGGAACAGAGAGCTCCAAAATGGCAATATTTCTAAAGGCCAACCCTCAGCCCTTTGCTCTTAATACAAGCACTTCCAAGTTACCTTAGATGGTGTTTGAATGCTTTGGTAGCATCCTAAATTGTCTGGGATTCCTTACTCATATGCAAACTGACATCAGATTATATTCCAAAATACCCCGTTACCTGAATATTCCTAAATGAATACTAAGTGTCTTATACACTAGAATCTAACTTATTAACAGGTTCTGCCTCATTTCTAGATGGCTTGTTTTCCTTTCTAATACTGAGCCTTAACACTAGAAAGTGTCCAAATATATCCTGAGTGCCCTACGTGAAGATGCCTTTTAAAAACTAGTCCATTAACCTGCAAATGTTTCCTTTTTTTTTTTTTCCTTTGAGACAAGGTTTCTCTGTGTATGGCTGTCCTGGAACTCACTCTGTAGATCAGGCTGACATCAAACTCACAGAGATCTGCCTGTGCACCTAACTTTATAGCAGATAATGTGTTTACCACTCCAAATTACTTCATGTGGGAGGATTCTCCTATCATCTAACACTAGAGGTTGGAAAATAATTTTCTGCTTGATTAAAATGTAGATACAAAAGGTAATCCTCCACTACACAGGTCAGTCTGGGCTACAGAAGATCTTGTCTCAAAACTGAAACAAGAATCCATACATAATTAATTAAATGTTGAAATAATTCTCAAAATTTAAAAATCATTGAAAAATTGGGAGCCCTAGAAGGGCTCACACTTCAACAAATGGCTGAAATTTACTAGAAGCTGCCAGCTTTAGTTTAAAAACATTTATTTTAATTAGTTTACTTGAGACAGGGTCTCACTGTGCAGCTCTGTCTGGCCTGGAACTTGATAAATATCCACCTGTCTGTTCCACCACACCCAGTCCTAAAAACTTTTAAATTAAAAAAAAAAAAGACTTTGTGTGTTTATGATGTGTGTGAGTCAGTGTGTGTGCTCAAGCTACTGCGTAAGGGTGAAGTCAGAGGACACTTTTTGGGAGTTGGTTCTGTTCTTCTAGGGTGGCTTCTGGGGATTGAACCTCAACTCTTCTGGCTTGGGCTGGGAGGGCTATTACCGCTGAGACATTTCATTGGCTCAAGGTGCCAGCTTTAGATGTGTGTTTTTCAATTCAAAAGCCAGGGCTACATTCTAGAAGTATTTATTGATCACCTACTTGCCAGATACTGTTTTTTAGATCCTGGGTTCATAGTAGTGAACAAAATTCGTGGAATTTATATTCTAATGAAAACAGAGATACCTTAGAGAGTGATAAATGATAAATGATATGAACAAACTATGAAGCAGGGTGGAGAAGTACAGGGCATGTGTTGCAGCAAGAGTGTTTACACAATTACATTCATTTAAATGCCTAGCTGGATCCTGTGGGAATCCGAGTTTATGACTCTTAATAACAACCAAATCATTATGTTTTTTTGCGCTATAAATGTCAAAAAGCAAGTCAAAAGCAAGAGTGTATTTCCTCTCATCTTTGAATATTACTCAGATCCACTTGCCTCTTGCCCCCCGACCCCCTCCCCCCCCAGTGCTGGGATTAATGGCATGCGCCACAACTCCCGACATAAGAATTTTTAATTAAAGCCGGGCGGTGGTGGCGCACGCCTTTAATCCCAGCACTCGGGAGGCAGAGCCAGGCGGATCTCTGTGAGTTCGAGGCCAGCCTGGTCTCCAAAGCGAGTTCCAGGAAAGGCGCAAAGCTACACAGAGAAACCCTGTCTCGAAAAACCAAAAAAAAAAAAAAAAAAAAAAAAAAAATTTTTAATTATGTTCCTGAGTGTGGGTATGTGCTCGTGAGTGTAGATGCCAATCAAGGCCAGAAGAGGGCGTCAGGTTCCCCGGAACTTAGAGTTACTGGCTGCTTTACCCATTCCCCCCACCCCCGCCCGTGGATACTAGAACCGAACTTTGCCAGCAAGAGCTCTTAAATTGATGCGCCGTTTCTCCAGCTCCTTCACTCGTCTTTGTATTCCGTGGTCCGAACTTTGTTTTTTTGTGCAGGAGAGATGAGAAGCAAAGAGTCTCGGCGATCGCTTTCCCGAGTGACTATTTCGGCGTGGTTAACTGAAGGATCCAACAAACATCAGCAACCCAGGAGTCAATCGACAGATTCTTAACGCCTCCCATAGGCCAGCGGTTCCGTTTCCATAGCAACCGAGACGCGGAGCACGCGCGCGGGGGCGGGAGGGGGGTCCCAGTCGCCAAGACCTGACCTGGTACTCAGGAAGTACTCGGGTGAGAGAGGAGCCTCTGTCATACCCTGAGGCCAAGGGAACCACATCCCGGGGCCGCGCACCGGGCCTGGCCTCCGGGACGCAGCAAGCTCGCCGGCCACGGGCATCTCCAGCGGCGACAACTTCCGGCCTCGGAGCTCCCCCCCGCCCCCGTGGCTCGCCCGGGTCCTCGCTGTGGAAAGGTGACCGTGGCTGCCGCCGGGCCTGAGCAGACGTCGGGCCAGGGGCTGCCACGTCCTCGGGACGGCGGTGAGGACACTGCAGGGTGCTAGTGCTCGGCCATGCGTCGTGCGGCGCCGCCGGCGGGGCCGGAGCGGAGGACGGCCAGGAGCGGGGCGCACCGGCGCGCGCGGGGCAGGCGCGGAGGCGGAAGTGAGGGCACGGCCTGCCTGGCCAGCCGTCTAGGAAGCCGCCGCCGGTCGCCCAGCGGGAGCATTCGGAGCCCCGCCAGACCGTCGCCACTCAGCCTCGGATGCCGGCGCGATGCCTCTGTTCACTGCCAACCCGTTCGAGCAAGACGTGGGTGAGTGCGGTGCCCGGCCCCCGCCGTGCAAGGGAAAGTGGGCGGCGGCCCTGGTGCCTGGGAAGCCAGGCGGAGAGCGAAGGGGCGGCGCCGCCCTCGACGGCGGGGGACAGCCTCGGCGCGTCGCCGGCCAAGCCACCTCCTACCTGTGGGTGATTGGGGTACCTAGCAGGGCTGTTCCCCAGAGCAGGAGTGGGGAAAAGCCAGTTCGCTGGAGGCTTAAGTTGCTGATACAAACTTCCTGCTTTTTCCAGAGCTGGGTAACACCCTTCCCCTTGGAAGAAGGTGCTGTGCTGGCCACCCTGCTGCTTGTAGTGACTGTTTTGAAATTGCTTCGAGATCCAGTCTCGGAGAATGAAAAGGAAAACTCCCAGAATCTCTAAAATAGCCCAGAACAACCGGTATTTGTTGGAGTCAAACGTTAGTCTGGTAACATAGGTCTTTCAGAAAGAAAAAGATGGATGGGGTACAACTTAAGCATAATATTAACAGTAAAAGCAAACTGTCTGGCAACATTCTTGAAACAGTGGTTAAGACGTTAAAACAGACGACGTTTTAGGATTTAGAAATTTTGAGTCAAACACAATGCTACATATTTTAGCAGTGAGCCACCAGTTCAGTTAGGATTTCTTAGTTAAGAGAAGTCTAGAAAGTGCCTCATTTTGCTTTATAACTCTCTAAGTCATATTCAAGTATATGAGAGTCTAATTAGATAGGAAGCATGTTGAAGCTTAGTCGCTGTTTTGGAATAATTGTTCTTTTGTTACATTACCTATGTGAGGCATTGCACTTTTTAATTTTTATTGAATTAATTTAGTTTTGACACAGTGGGGTCTGTATATAGTCCATGCTGGCTTCAAATTTCCAAAACCTCTGTCTTAGCACCTAAAATTCTGGGATCCGAGTCTGGGCCTCCACCCTGCTTGAGACCGACCTGTACTTCTTACTGTTACTGTAAAAGCTTTCATTTTGCTCTAATGAAATGAACCAGAAAATGCAAAGTAGAAATGGTTATTTTGTTTTTTCTTTTGTTATTTATGTGTATGGGTGTTTGTCTGCATGTTATGTCCCTTACGTGTGTGCTGTGCCTAAGAAGGCCAGAAGACCCTGTCAGATCACCTGGAGCTGGTGTTGCAGAGGGTTGTGAGCCACCGCGTGGGTGGTGGGAAGAGCAGGGGGTGCCTTTAACTGAGCCCTCTCTCAAGCCCAAGACAGAGTATTTAAAATATAAAACCTGTGCACTCTTTCTTCAAGGAAGTATTTCCTGGAAGCCTGTTGTTTCCAAATTGAAGATTTTTCTGGTAACAGTAGTCCTGAGTTGCTCTGCCCAGTTTATTTTTCTAAACTTTTCCCTGAGTGGTTTCTGAAATCCTTGTATCACAGCTTAGTATAGTTTTCTTAGGCTCTGATCTTCAGACAGAAACAACCAAAAAAAAAAACCTGAGTAGATTATTTTTCATGGGCTATGGCAAGAAGAACTTAAAGTGTTTATTCATTAGTTCTCACATGACTGAACTCAGTTTCCAAAATGTCAAGTTAAGGGTGAAAGAGTGTGTTTGGTGGAGGCCCACCTAGACAGATGAATGCAACTAGAAAAACATGGCATGAAATGCTGAGGAGCTCAAATTGGTCTGAAACTTATATCAGACCTTAAGGACTCTTAATGCAGAAATGTTAAATACTACAAAGCAAGTTTTTATATGACTTGAGCATTACAGCAATGTTCCTCTACAGTGTCTTGTCTTTTTTTTTTTTTTTTCAAATACGCTTTCTGTGTGTGTAGCCCTGGCTGTCCTGGAACTCACTCTGTAGACCAGACTGGCCTCGAACTCACAGAGATCTGTCTGCCTCTGTCTTTCAAGTGCTGGGATTAAAGGCATGTACCAGCACTGCCTTTTTTTCAGCATTATTTTTATTTCCTCTCCTCCTCCTCCTCCTCTTCTCCCCCCCCCCACTCTGTGTTACCTGTGTTCACTCTTTATTCACCAAAAATCCATGGGATAATTACTGTGTATCAGGCATTATGTTACGTTCTACAGAGACAAAAATTAATAAATATACTGAGTTCTTGCTCACAAGCCACTGGAGTAGAAGGAAGGATACATGCTCAAGTAGATAGTTGTACTATGATGTGATTAATGCAGTGTGACAAATATGAGGAATACATAAGATGCCACATATCCTCCCTTCTGCCTGAAAGTAATCATCTGTGAAGGCAAGAGAAGCAACAGTGTCAGGTAGGCAGTTCCGGGGTAAAGGTCACCATTGTCCTTTCCTCCCTCATCTTCCTGACAGCATTTCTTCAGTAGGAAGCATGCACCTCCTACTCTATGTACAGTAGGGCACATCCTGGAGAGTTTCCTACGAGAAAGTAAAGATGATGACTTGGTGGGAAGATAGAGTGGCTAGTGTTAAAGGGAAAAGATGTTGGCATGGAGACCTCTTCCCTCTTGTAGCAGTTACCGGAGAGGCAGCTGCCAAAATGAAGTTGTGACCTCAGACCCAAGGAAGAACTGTAAAAGACATTTTGGTTCACCCTCTCACATTCGGAGGAAGGTCATGTTCCTCCTCTTTCTGAAGAGCTGAGACAGAAGTATAATGGTCGATCTGTGCACAGTCGAAGGGATGATGAAGTTCAAGTTGTGCGAGGACAGTACGAAGGTCAGCAGATGGGCAGAGTGACTCCAGGAGTCCAGGAAGACATATGCCGTCTCCACTGAATAGTGCAGGGAGAAAAGGCTAATGGCACAGTTGTCCGTGTGGGCATTCACCCCAGCAAGGTGGTCACCACCAGGCTAAAGCTGGACAAAGACTGCAAAAAAGTAAAATAAAAATGAAAATCCTGGAACAGAAAGCCAAGTTTAGCCAAGTAGGAAAGGAAAAGGGTAATACAGGGAAGAAAATACTGAGAAGATGCAGGAGTAGAGGAATTTCATACCCAGCTTACTTTAAAGGCTGCTTAAATAAAGAGGGCGAGTGTGTGCTCTTTGCTTGTATTCAGTAGCCAGCTGTTAGCTTGGGTGCGAAGTCGTTGCTTGGCTGTGTTATGCCCTACCTCAGTGCCTGTTGGTGTACTTTTCCTCTTTGCTCAAGTCAAGCACTTTTTGTTTGATAGTCTGTGCTCTGGGCTATTTATCATTTATTGCTAAGTGTTTGTGCTATTTAAAAATTTGCATATTATTGTGTGTTTGGGTGTGCATGTGCCATGGGGAACATGTGGCAGAAGATACTTGTTGAATCAGGGTCCATTGTTCCTGCCTTGCTGTGTTCTAGCTGGCCATTGAGCTTCCAAGTTCCTGGTACAATATTCCACAGGAGTGCTGGGCTGTGTACCACTGCATCTGGCTTTATACATGGTGTACAGGGTTTGAACCCTAGTCAGCAGGATGGTGAGACAACTGTTTATCTGCTGAGCCATCTCTCTGGCTCTTATTTTATTTTATTCTTGAGATGGGGTCATAATATATGTCTTGGTCTCTCTTGGAACTCTCATGTAGCCTAGGCTGGCCTTGAATTTGAGATCCTACGTTAGCTTTCTGAGTTCTGGGTATTCAGGTATATATTTTCATGCCTGACTATAAGTATTTGTCTTTTCATATGCCATCTCCATCCATTCGTAAAGAAATATTTGTGCTCCACAAAGCTGAGTTTTAATTTAGTCTAGAAAAAATGTCTTCTGAGAAGGCAGGTTGATGTGTGAATTTCCTGCATTTTGTTTTTGTTGTTAAAAGACCTTGACAAAAAGTGACTTAGGGCTTTCTATTAGGCAGTTTTACTCCAGCAGAAATTTGTAAGAACCCTCAATGTAAAACTAGAAGCATTCCAGTAATACAAATGGATTTTATACAGTCAAATTTATAATGTTTACTTATTTCAGTCCTTGAACATATATGGCTAATATAATTTTTGTAATTAAAAAAATTGGTTATGGACAAACATAGCTTTTTTTTAATATATTTTTTTCCCTATACCTTATTTTGCTTGCATGGTTCCAGAAATGCTAGTACTTTCAGATTGTTTGAAAGTTTAATTAGTATCTTTGAAGTTTTCTTTAAAATGTGAACTATTTTGAGCATAATGTATAAAACAGCATGAACGCCCATCCCTGCCAGCCAGCCAACTCTGTCAGTTCCTAATACTATGACATGCTTGATCTTTCTAAGAAGAGGACATTAAAGATGCCGTTGAATGTATTCTTAGCAGCTGTCTTTTCCACTCATCTCTCTTCAGTTAAACACTCCAAAACAAAAGTTCTATTTTTTTTAAATTAGTTGTAAATGTGTATATTACCTATAGAAGTACACTTCATACATTTTTGTGTGTTTTCTTTTTCTTTTTCTTTTTGGCTTTTCAAGACAGGGTTTCTTTGTGTAAACTATTTTTTATTTATATAGTTGTTTGTTTGTTTGTTTTGAGACAGGGTCTCACTATGTAGCTCTGGCTGTCCTGGAGCTCACTATGTAGACCAGGCTGGCCTTGAACTTAAGGAGATCCACCTGCCTCTGCCTCCTGAGTGCTGGAAGTAAAGGTGTGCGCCACCATTACCCAGCCTAGTAGTGTACACTCTTAACTTCTGAGCATCTTTCCAGCCCCAAGTAACAAAGACTTTGAATGTAGTTTGACTTACAGTTCCTTTCCTAAAATTATCACAAGTATTAACCAACATTGTCAAACCCTTTTGCTAAAACAAGCATTGTTCTAGAAACCAGAGACATTTGGTATTGCCTATACATTCTTTCCCCTTAGCCTTTCTTTAATTTGTTTTGTTAGTTTTAATTGTTCTAGATTTATTTACGTGTATGGGTGTTTTGCTTGCATGTATGTATATGTACTGCTTGCTTGCCTGGTGCCTGTGAAGATCAGAAGAGCGCATTGGATCCCCTGAAACTGGAGTTATGGATGGTTGGGAACCACCATGTGGGTGCTGGGAACTGAACTTGGTTCCTCTGCAAGAATAACACATGCTCTTAAACACTGAGCCATCTCTCCAGCCCCCGTAC